TCCTGCTAAAACAAAAATACCTTGGTAAAAAAGAAAACAAGCAACTCTCAACAATGGCTAAAATTTGGGGCACAAATTGATCAAAAGATTAAACGTAAAGTAAATTTATGAAGATACACTGACTCAAGTTTTATAAAAGCCATTTATCTTGTCATGTACAGTATTAACAATTCACTTATTTTCTTTTGGAGACTTGTCCCTTTGTACATTACACTTCTTTCTCCAACACTCCAATCTTATTGTAACCAGAGTGTCTTTGCACTCCACTCTGCCTGAAACACACTTCCCATAGTTAACTCCTAGTCACTTGGGTCTCAGTGTGAATACCATCTGCTCAGAGTTATCTGATCTCTCCAGAAAGTGCCCTGGTTCCCTTTGTTCTAGATCATACTCAAGTCCTTATCTCAATGTGAAATGGTCACTTCCAGAGGGTAAAGACCTCATCTGTCTTGTTCACCACTTTACCCCCCGCACTTGTAAGAGCACTTGGCACACACTGGGCACTCAAATATCTATTAAGTTAATGAATCATGAATCTTTACCTCAACTATGTTTGGTTTTAAGAGACTTACTGTATACGTAAAGATTTACTTTGACGAATAGGAAAAAGTAAAAATTTGTTCCCACCCCTTATCTGCCTTGAAAACATACACAAAAAAACCTTCAAAACATAGGTGAATGCTTACACTGAATAATTATTTGCTGTTTTTCTGAGGCTCAAATTTTAACTGAAAGTCTTATCTTTTGACAACTCTAGTTGAGTAAGAAGGAGAGAAGAACCAGAATAGGATGTGCTGGGGGTGGGAAGGCTGTTACACAGAGCAGCTGCTATGGTGAGTAAGAAACTGGGAAGTACGATGTATAAAGAGAAATTTAGGATTACTTTGTGTTCAACGTAATTCACCCTTTGCCACCTCCTCAAGAAAACTATAGCAAAGGTCGCTGTTACTTAAAAACAAAACAAATGAGAAACTATCTCCTCTGAGAAGTCTTCCTTTACCTGTGTATCAATAAACATTTCCTCCTGTGTTACCTCTGAACTTGGTACATTAGCACCTTGAGTTGTGTCTCAGCTCCATGGGGCAGAGGGTTAAGTAGTGTTTCCAGCTGGGCACAGTGGCTCATGCCCATAATCCCAATACTTTGGGAAGCTGGTGGATCACCTGAGGTCAGGAGTTTGAGACCAGCTTGACCAACACGGTGAAACCCCATCTCTACTAAAAATACAGAATTAGCCAGGCCTGGTGGTACATGCCTGTGATCTTAGCTACTTGGGAGGCTTAGGCAGGAGAAGCACTTGAACCTGTGAGGCAGAGATTGCAGTGAGCCAAGATTGCACCATTGCACTCCAGCCTGGGCAGCAAGAACAAAACTCCGTCTCAAAAAAAAAAAAAAAAAAAGTGTTTCCTCCCTACTGCCGGTATCTAGAACAGTGGCTGGCACAAATGTCTGTTCAATACATGAAACCTAAAAGCAGTATCTAAATCAAAAAGATCAGCCATTTTCATTATACTCTTTTTTTTTCCTTTGGAGACAGGGTCTCGCTGTCACCCAGGTTGCAGTGCAGTGGCGCAATCTCAGCACACTGCAACCTCCGCCTTCTGAGTTCAAGCAATTACCTGCCTCAGCCTCCCCTGTAGCTGGGATTACAGGCACCCGCCACCACACCCACCTAATGATTGAACTATACTCTCAGTTTTACTCAGCAAGGTAAAGCAATAACTTGAAAAGTTTGAAGAGGCATACAAATGAAACACATACTTACTGTTTCAAAAGTATTCAACACCATCAAAGGGAAAAAAACACTAAAATAATCTCCACAATCGTGAAATCTGACAGGCACAGGTCTTGAGATGCACTGACAAAGGCTTGCAGGGGGCCCACACTGATTAAAGTTCAAAAACATTTCGTATTTCCATTTTAAGACCTCTTTAACGAAGGTGTCAGACACAGACTGCGATGTCAAGAAAATGTTTACTGGAGAGGAAGATGGAAAATATTTGCTTTCGCCAAATGCAACTTTGCAACCTTGCCTGGAATTATTCGGAGACTGAGGCTGAAGAATGTTGCATGAATTCATTTCACCCACTGGCTTCTGAGATACAAGGGGAGTTGGCTGTGGTACTTTCAAAATTGACTGTATCCCATTTGATTTATTTTTTAGAGATGGTGGAGAAGATTCCAAAGATTTAGAAAGACTAGCAATTCGTGAAGTACTCTTTGAGCTAAAAATCTTAGCAGTGGTAGGTCTCAAAGGTTTAGATGCAGAAAGAGGCAAGCCAGGTTTACGAAATACATCTTCATCTGCTGCTTTCACTTCAGAGTGTTCCGAGCAGTATTCACCCTGATTTTTCGTGGCTTCAACACAATCTTTGTACTTACACTTTGTGCCAATCAAAGATTCCAACTGAGGCCGATTTACAGAATCTTCTTCAACCTGAACTGTATCTTTTCCATGAATTAGTTCAATGAATTTATAATTATCATTCTCCATTTGCGAACACAAATCCATATCTTCAGGATCATGTTGTGTTAAAAATAAGTTATCTTCCTCTGTATCACTGCTGGGGTCAGGCTCTCCCTCTTTCAAAGTTGTCGTTTCTATATGATGTACCGACAGATCACCTCCACCTAGAGGGTCCTCTGAAGTAGCGACAATTACTTCATTTATTGGTATTGTTCCATTTAACACTACAGAATCACACTGGTTCAAAAGGCAAACATCATCAGTCACTAGAGATCCATGTTTTGCTTTTGTGGTTTCTGGTTCAGAAGGCACGCATTTTATTATCTGTTTCCCATTACTGCTGGCAAGAGCCTCAGTTCCTCCTGTACAACTATAATCTGACCTATCAGATTCTGGTACAGATGTGTCAGATTTCTGTGCTGTATGCACAGAACCTGTTCTTGTAGCATCGGTACTTTTACAACCAGAAAGTCCTCTTCTATTTTTTTGTGATTTGGGTCTCATCTGCCTTCGCATCTGAAGTTCTTGACTAATCAGCAGTTTCTTATTATTTCTGACAGACAGGTTCTGAGGAGGAATTAATTTAGTCTTTTTTGGAGCATCAACTACCCCAACAGCTCTGCCATGATCACGTAATTGAGCTAAATAATCTAATGATCTCTGGGACAACTCAAATGCCATACGAGGAGCCTTTTTCAGGCGAAGTCTCTCAGCTGTTGAAGTTGGTTCAGGACACTGACGAAATTTCTTTGGTATCACTATAGCAGGAGTTGTCCTACAACTTAGGTAACTGGAACTCTTATTCTGTCCTTTTTTGGCATCTGAATGCGTTTTCTTAGGGTTCTTAGAAACTGGAACTTTCTTGACAGGTTCTGAATAAGTACAAAGCCTTGACGACTTCTTTTGTGAAACCGTAGTGGCTCTCTGAATACTTGAATTGGTAGTTGCAGTCCTTCCAGCTATGCTTTTAAAATCGTTTCCAACAAGATCTCTCTTGTTAGTATCAGACTGGCCCTCATTTATGACAGAAGATGAAGGCCTCACAAGATCTTCAGCCATTGGTTTTTCAGATCGTTTTCTCTTAGGCTTTTTTACTTCAATTTCACAAAATTCCTCAACAGAAATGCTACTGTTCTGTCGTCTCACGTGTTCTTCAATGCCCTCTGCTCCTTTTTTAACAACTTCAGATACATAATCTGTACAACCCTGATCATTTGTGATATTGGCTACATGAGTCAAACAATTTTTCTCATCATCTTGAACTGAATTATTATTGTCTAGATTATCTTGCCAAACTGAAAACACTTCAAATGGACTTTCGAACTCAAAACACTGAGAATCACATTCCTCAAGCTGCAAAAGAGACTTTGTCTTTTCTTCCTTTACTGGATTCTTCTCCTCCTTACTATTAACTATTGAAACGTGCTGCCCTGGGCTTTCCTTCTCAATGCATATTTTGTCCTGTTTAGTGAGTTTCTCAAGACTCAGGACTGTTTCATCATCATCATCAGAATCTGAAATAATAATAACCTGTCCACAGGAGGTATCTCCAACATTATTTTGGTTAGCTGTGAAACATCTTTTATGTTCTTTCACTTTCCTTTGTAGCTGGGATGAGTGCTGAGGTGAATCTGATGGAAACTTAATAACGCTGGCTTGAGCTATTAAAGATAATTTGTGAAGGTCTCTGTCTATCTGAGAATCCGTTAAGGCGTCAGATTTAGGACTGATAACAGGGGCCTGTTCTCTTGTCAAGCTAAAAGAAATCAGATTCGTATTATTACTCATCTCCTTATCTCTTGATTCAGGTACAGTCATAAGATCGTTAAAGGAAGATGATTTCTTCACTAAAGTTTTCTTCACTAAAGTATCGGTCATTTCTGTAAAGGGGATCAAATCTTTATCAACATGACATTCCTGTATTTTACAATTGTTTTCACGGGAAGAGAAAATATCTAACTCTGCATTCTTTAATTGTTTCTCTTTTGGCAATAAATTGTTCTGAGATTTTTGTTCTCCATTCTTATCACCATCCAGAACACCACTAGTGTCTAAAGAAAGATTGTGTATGAAACCATCTCCTTTCTGAACTCCTGTGTCTTTCCTTGAATAGAAACTCTCAATGTTAGATATAGTCAGATTTTCATCTAAATTGATAGCATTATTGACCAAAGTACTCTTCCTGTGATGCTTCTTTATTACATGTGATAACTTTGCACGGATTTCATCTTTCTGTACCTTAGTTTTTCGTTTTGAGGTTTTAGCAAGACCATTGCCCTTTAAAGACAAATCTTCATTTGATGCGGACACTTTTTCCAAAGCATCAGTACTAGAATCAGTCAATAAATGTGTTGATACTATTATTCCTCTGTCGCATCCCCTTTCTGGACCATTTCTTGAAGTACAATCCTTTGGTGTATATGAAGAATTCTCTTTTACAGACTTCCTTGTACTTATTTTAATTGGACCTTCAGCTCTTTCAGTAAAATGGTTTTTACTACTCCGCTTTAAGCATGACCCAGCTGAGAGATGGTCTTCTAGTTTTACATCCTTTATAGAATTTTGCTCATTATTGTCACCTTCTATACTGTTATCTGCTTTGATCAATACATTGTCTTGCACTTTCACTGGTTCTTTAGAAAACGTTGGGCTGGACTCTCCCCAACAATGCGTATCTTTTCTAGGCTTCTTCCCTATTTGCTCACTTTCTTCTTTATTATAAGATGCAGGAGAGGTTTTACATGTAGAAGTCAGATCCACAACAGTATTACATGGAGGTGCTTTAAATTTTATGTTTCTAATAATTTGCTTTAAGCAAGTTTGTAGCTCATGGGTTTCCTGACTAGTCAACTGCCAACCTAGAGATAAATTTCCTCTAAGGAATAAGTTAAGCTTATCCCAGAATCGCTTGCAAAGAGAATGCTGCCCAAGCTGATAACCTTCTTTAAGGAGACTTCTAATCAGCTGCACACAAGCAAGTTGTACAGAGTTAGATGGCATTGAATGCAACGACAGTGATGATATCATTGCTGTTCCTTTGGAGCAATTTCCAGATGATTTCTCAGAACTCCGTGCAAATGCAGTGGTAGGAAGCTTGGCACATTTGACAACAGCTTCCACCCATTGTTGGGAACTTACCCAGAGCAAATGCAAACATTTTTTATTTCTATGCAGTTCAATCACTGATACCAAAATTAGAAGAAAAAATTCAGTGACTTTGTCACAGACGGCATCTGTTTGGTTGAGGACATCTTTGACTTCAGAGTACAGATGATGAATAACCTCTACTATGTAAGCCACACCCAAATCCTTAAGATCCATGAGGGACTGAACAAAAGGTATGAACCATAAAAATGTGCTGTTATGAACACGCATGTCTTGGCCAATATCCGACTGAAGTACATTGGCTAACGTTTCCATTTCTTCATACATGTTAGGACAATAATCTGGGCAAATGGCTGTTCTCCATCCAGAATCCTAAAAAGAAAGAAATGCTCATGTTCAGATAAATAAGCACCATTTCTGATAGGTTTAACACTCAAATCAATAACAAAAATATATTTCTCAGCTCTCTTATTTTGGTTTACATCATTATTACGGTATACAATGGTATAATTATGGCATACAATTATATCACAATCATAATATACCTAACCCCCAAGAAACTGAAATATAAATTGAATTTTGAGGTTAAAGTTTCATGAAAAGGCAAATTTATACCACCTTCATATACTCTGACCTTCTTTCCACTAGCTGGTTTTAATTTCTACTCAAGCCACTTATGTCCCCATAAACTTTCCATCTTTCCCAAATATACTTAGAAACTAATTTTCCAGCCGGGTGCGGTGGCTAATGCCTGTAATCCCAGCACTTTGGGAGGCCAAGGCGGGTGGATCACGAGGTCAAGAGATGGAGACCATTATGGTCAACATGGTCAAACCCCGTCTCTACTAAAAATACAAAAAATTAGCTGGGCATGGTGGCGCACGCCTGTAGTCCCAGCTACTTGGGAGGCTGAGGCAGGAGAATTGCTTGAACCTGGGAGGCGGAGGTGGCAGTAAACCAAGGTCGCGCCACTGCACTCCAGCCTGGCACCTGGTGACGGAGTGAGACTCTGTCTCAAAAAAAAAAAAAAAAGAAATTAATTTTCCAAAGTATGTACATTGTAGTTTAGAGTCCACCTTCCCCTACATACAATACATCTGCTGTTCAATGAGAAGGCCTTTTACCTTGCAGTAGATTGAGAACAGCTACATATTGTAAAATCAACAACTCAACAAATTACATAAAACACTGTCGGCCAGGCGTGGTGGCTCACCCCTATAATCTTAACACTTTGGGAAGCCCAGGTGGGCAGATCATGAGCTCAAGAGATGGAGAGGATCCTGGCCAACATGGTGAAACCCTGTCTCTACTAAATATACAAAAATTAGCTGGGCGTGGTGGCACGTGCCTGTCATCCCAGCTTCTCAGCTACTCGGGAGGCTGAGGCAGGAGAACCACTTGAACCCTGGACGTGGAAGTTGCAGTGAGCCAAGATCGCGCCACTGCACTCCAGCCTGGTAACAGAACAAGACTCTGTTTCAAAAAACAAACAAACAAACAAACACTGTCTATACAAGATAAAGGCAATAAAATATCATCTAAATTTTCAAAGTGTTTTTTTAATACCTTTTTGGTCTTTTCAGGATTAAAATTGTATACAATCTGGCTGCACGTCACCATATCATCCAAATATGACTCCGGTTCTACCTTGGTCCTTAAATATTAAGAATAAATAGAAATTACTGAAATGAAGGGGGAGGAAAAAAAAGGAAGAAACACCTCTTAAGTAATTTAGCTGTAACACACTTTCCTGTAGAGATGCTTAAATCCTGACATTAGCTGAACTAACCTTACAGAGCTGTTCCGTATATGCTGAATCTCTCTATTGTAGCTTGTGTTGTTGATAATGGTTTGAAATGCTTCAATAGGATCAATAAGTTGACCCCAGACCTTAGATCCAAGACGATCCAGAATCAACATAAAACAGTGTAATGCTGGCCAGAAAGGATCCACACTATCATCTGAAATACAATGGCACAATCACTGAATTACAAAACGGTTAGAAAAATATACAAAAATATATTGAGAATTAAGCATTCTTTATCTGGTTAGTAGCAACAGAACTAAAAGCCAAGCAGCAAATAATTTAAGGTAACACACCACCAATCCTTAGAGACACAAAAGTTTTAAAAAGAGGTACATTTTCAAAAATTTTTTTCAATCAATAGTGTGATGCTTCTGCAAAAAAAAAAAAAAAAAAAAAAAAAAAAAGGCAAACAAATTATTCAATGGGCAAGAAAACAGTCTAGGTAAACACAATCTTTTCACACCCTGTTTCCATACCAGAAACAACCTTTTCTAACTCAGCTCCTCAACCTCTCCCTAAACTTTATAGTTCCATCTCCCAATAACAGGAAAGGAGAAGAAAAAAATAAAGAGAAAGAAACTTGGTATTTACAGATCTACATGAAGCCCATAATACAAGAAATTCTGTTTAAGCATGATCCTGAATTTTATGTCACGCAGCTAGCGTAGGCATCTAAATTCCTTAGCTAAGAGTAAGGCAGATACACACTCTTCATCCATCTGTATCTCAACATGGCTTTTTGCTGTTATCTACTTTTCATCCAACTTGCAGAAACTTCCATTAATCATAAGCTCTTTCCTCCAACTTTTTCCCTCTTCTCTATCAGACAGGTAGTAACATGATACTGCCCTACTCAAAGGCCTTCAATAACTCCGTAATGTCTTCCAAGAAAATTCAAAGTCCTCAGCCAAGAACTTAAAAGATCTTAATTTACTGTTTACTTCCATTTTTATTTTTCATATTCCCATAATCATACACTATCTACAGCAAAAATAGATCACTGGCTTTTTTCCAAAATAAGCACCAGAATGCCTTTGCTACTAGGACAACCTATCAAAATTCTATCCATCCTTTAAAGTCCAGCTTAAATGCCTCCTCCTATATTAAATTTTCCCCCACTTTAGTCAACTACAGTATTCTTCTGAGGCAAGTGTTTGAATTCACTAAGTTACTGCTAGTTGTTAAGTCATCCTAGAACATGTGACTTTAATTCCCTCAACCTTCTCAGACTTCATCAGTCATTTGAACTTTCTCATATATTTTTGTATCCTCCACTACATCTGAAACAGTGCCTGTGTCTAGTGAGCTCATAAATAAGACAGCAGTTAGGCGAAAATAATTATAAAGTTTCTTAAAGAGGTAATTAAAACGAAGACAAGGCTGGGTTCAGTGCCTCATGCCTGTAAATCCCAACACTTTGGGAGGCCGAGGCAGGAGGGCTGCTTGAGGTCAGGAGTTCAAGAAGAGCCTAGGCCACATAGTGAGACTTCATCTCTATCAAAAATTTTAAAATTAGCTGGGTAAGGGGGCACGTGCCTGTGGTCCCGGCTACTAGGAAAGCAGAGGCAGGAGGATGACTTGAACCTGGGAGGTCAAGGCTGCAGTGAGACCTGACTGAGCCACTGCATTCCAGGGTGAGAGACAGAGTGAGATCCTGTCTCAAAAGGGAACAAAAAAAGGTTTTTTGTTTTTTTTTTAAATGGTAAGGGAGATAGCTTGGCAGAAAAGGACAGAATTATATATGTAGTTGGGCACAGGGAAATCAATAAACAATATATGTAGTAAATGTTGGCAAAAGAGTAACAGCCTTAATCAGAAATAATCTAGCAAGAAAATATATGCCACAGGCTGGGCACAGTGGCTCACGCCTGTAATCCCAACACTTTGGGAAGCCAAGGTAGGCAGATCACACGAGGCCAGGAATTCAAGACTAGCCTGGCAAACATGGGGAAAGCCCATCTCTACTGAAAATACAAAAATTAGCTGGGTGTGGTGGTGCACGCCTATAAGCCCAGCTACTCAGGAGGCTGAGGCAGGAGAATCACTTGAACCCAGGAGGCAGAGGCTGCAGTGAGCCAAGACCGCACTACTGCACTCCAACCTGGGTGAGAGAGAGAGAAACTCAGTCTCCAAATGAAAAAAAAAAAATGTGTATACACACACACACAACACACACACACACGCACTATCAACAAAAGAATAACATTATTTATATTAGAATCTCCCACAAATGAGTTTATATACAACATTCAAGTTGCCTGAAGAGAAGTAAATGAAGGGAAAAAATTATATTTGTAATGTTTTCATAGGATCTGATATACTTGGTCTTTATTAATACATTACTTCATCAAGATTAGAAACACTTATTTAATTAGAGATCTTTCATGATTAGCATGACGCGAGCATAAGCAAAAGGAGGTCGGGATCTAATAATAAACAAGACCTAAAACCACAAGTTTTAGGCCTCATTATCTAGACTATCTAGAGCAACATATCCAAGAGAATGTTCTGTAACAATGGAACTGTTCTGTCTATGCGTTAATCAACACAGTGCAGGCACATATGGCTGCTGAGCCTTGAAATATGGCTAGTGGGACCAAATAACTGCATTTGTAATTTTAATTAACTTAAATTTTAATAATCACATGTGGCTAGCAGTTACTGTACTGGACAGAGAGGCAGAGAAACAAAGAGGTAGGCAAAGGAAGGCCATGGGACAGAGAAGGCTTTTCCCACAATATTAACCACAATGTCATTACAAATGGATCTCCCAGCCGGGCGCGGTGGCTCAAGCCTGTAATCCCAGCACTTTGGGAGGCCGAGGCGGGTGGATCACGAGGTCAAGAGATCGAGACCATCTTGGTCAGCATGGTGAAACCCCGTCTCTACTAAAAATACAAAAAAAATTAGCTGGGCATGGTGGCGCATGCCTGTAATCCCAGCTACTCAGGAGGCTGAGGCAGAATTGCCTGAACCCAGGAGGCGGAGGTTGCAGTGAGCCGAGATCGCGCCATTGC